GTGAGATTCAGTTCGACAGGAGGCTGCTCATCAACCACAGAGGTTTCAAGAAAATAAATAATGGACTAGCTTAGAAATGCTTAGGAAAAAAGAAATTTGAACTTAAGGATTCTATACCAAGCCTAACTAATACTCTAGAGGGAAATACTCAGACACACAAGGCTTCAGAATTATTTATTACCCACAGACACTCTCTGACATGGTAGGTAGAACAGGAGAACAAAAGGAAACCTACCAAATTATGTACTCCGGGATGAGGAAAAATGAATCCAAAAGGAAATCATGGGGTACAGGTAACAAAGAAGAATGTATCCATTTTTTTTTTTTTTTTTTTTTGGTAATTAAAAAGTAATCTTTTTTTTTTTTTTATTTTAAGTTGAGGAGACAAGAAGGTTGGAAACACTTAAAATTTAATTCTTTACACAATCAAAGGACCTACAAAAATATGTTTGGGGAGCAGCCATTCTGGGACAGATAATAATTCCAATAAAACTTGAGAATGCAATCCCTGAGTCTGGTAATGCCCTTGCTGCCATGTAATCTGGCCACCTGGCACCAGTTGTCATGATGACAATGTCAGTGGGCCTGAGGAGGGACGCTTGATGAGCATACAATTTAGCAGACTGCTCCTTTGTCTTACTGTGCCTAACAAGTTGTACTAGATCAAATGGACTGGTAGATGAGGAGATGAATGGAGTTAAAAATGGTAATATTTCAGACGAGCTGACGCACTGCAAACATACTCTTTAGATGACCGAGCTATGAAGTCTGTCGACCAGAGGCCTCTTACCGCCAAGGCTGTAGCAGGAGGGCCCAGCTCTGCCTAGGGTGTGTTCTAATGAAAGATTTTAGGCTCTACAAAGGCTTCCGTTGAGAGGTTCATGATGCTGTCGCCTATGTCATATGCCATGAATTTAGGGCTTGGAATCCCTCACTTGAACTTTTTTACCCCATCCCTGTGTGTGCCAAAAAAGAACAGCTGCCAAAAAGCAGACATTTTCCTGTCTCTAAAAATAACATACTGGCAATGCTTCAGGCCCCTGTGCCAAGACCTGGCCCTTCCCAGGGTAAATAATAGGTGGTCAAGTTGACCAGAGGCAAGGACTGAGCTCTGAAGCAGGCCCGAGTCCAGTCTGGATACCTCAGACAGGGCATGTGCAGCTGGACAGCCAGAAGCCAGGTGTGGCTGAGAGGGGGAAGCTTCAGGTTACACTAGAGACTTTGACCCAGCCCAGGTCACAGAGTCCTCACCAGCCCTGCCCCCAGAGCCCTGGGGTCCACAGTGACAGATTCGAGGGCCTGTGAGACCCTGTCCAGAGAATGGTCCCTGGGAAGGAAAGCGTTTCATAAGCATCCATCTGCATTCATCACTCAGGCCTGTGCTCGTCACTTGTCAAAACCCCTCCTGCCCAGCAGCGAGAGGCCTCACCTGCTAGAGACAGGCCCAACCAAACTGCCTTAGTATGTGAATGCTATAATAACAGTCATTGTCCCCACTCTAATTGCCTCCCAGCTCGTCAAATGCTTCTACGGCACTTGTTCAAACCTCTGTACCTGGTCATTATGGCTCCAATCTTCCCTAGACCATAATCTTGGCTTTTGGCTGGTTTGGGGGATTCAGAGAGCTAAGAGGGAGTTAGGGGAGGAGAAGGACTAAATATAGCAAATATTTGCCCGCATAATCACTCTATAAACACGCTTCAGTGGAACAGAGTGTGGGGCCGACCCAGATGATGGATGTCACTCACCCGAGTGTCACATCATAAACAAAAGTGAATGAGCCCATTCTCCCCCAGAACCAGAGAGGTGCCTGTTCACACTGTAAATATTTATGAAGTCATGGTCCTTAAAAGACTTTCTTTTTTCAGGTAAGTAGACTTCAACGAAAAAGTTAAGTAGATCTTTTCCTGCAATTATGGAGTCGTCACAGTCGTTTTTCAACAGGCATTCTACGAAAAGGAAAAAGAATGAAGTAAGGCAAGGACAAACGAACCCCCATTCCAGGAGGCTAAGGTATGGAGATCTTATTTATGGCAGTCAAGGTTCATTCTCACTCGGAAACTGACAGCCTTCTCGGGGCTGGCGGAAACCAGCAGGAGCACTCCTAGTGCTGCTCAAACCAGGCCTGTGTAATGAAGGGCGCAAACAGATCCCCATCACCCAAGTTCTGACTCCTGCTGCCACCTCTGCCGGGAGAGGCATCTCCTGAGCACACTCAGCTCTCTCAGCCTGTCTCTTAGTAACAGAAAAAAAACGTACACCTCACCCCATTACTTTACTCATTTGAAAAGAATTCTCGGAATGCGAGGATGTGTGCCTGCCTGGGTGTTTATGCAAAGTCCACCCCTCCTGCACACAGTTACTCCTCCTGGTTTCATTAGGAATGGCACCCAAGATCCCCCATCAGAATCTGACAAGCTTCTCCTGCGTTTTCTTTTGCTGCAAGGAATAAACTCCCCTTCTGCGCCCAGCAGCCCTCCTACACTCCCCTCCTGCAAGGCACTGTGGCAATCCTTCGACCTGGAGCTCCCCAGCCATTGTCTCCACAACACTACATGCTAATTTTCTCGTCACTTTGCAGCTTCCTTGTTATTAATCTCCTAAATGCACCAAAATCCTTGCCCAAGACCATCAGGCCTGTGTCTTTCCCAGGGATGGCCTTTTGCCCAGTCTCTCTTTCCCTCCAAACCTTACGGTGGCCCCAGTTAATGTCAGACTAAACTGGCCCAGCAGGGAGAAGTTGCTTGTTCCGCTTTAGCCTTCAGGAAGTCTTGTTCCACAACATCTCTGGTTTTGTGAAATGAGTCACAGGTGGCCTTGACCATGGCCTCTCTGGTAAGGCCAGGGCTGCCATGTATGGTCTGTGTTCTGTGCCACCCACCTCTTCATGTAAGTCAGATTTCTTTGCCAGGACAGCCTGAGTCATAAAACTCAGCACATTCCTTAGGCGTTGGATAGTCTTTCCTTGTTAATACTTTGCTTTTGTTTTATGCAGCACCTGGTTTCATTTTAAAAACTCAAATAAAATCTCACGGTTGAGGAGTGAGGGGAAGGAAATTGAAAGGAAAAAGGAGAGCAAAACCTAGGATAGGGAAAGGAAGAAAGAGCTATGACTTCCCAAGGAGGCAAGACCCAGAGCAGGACAGAGATGGAGCTGCAGAGGACAGGGAAGTAGAAAGAGAGGATGTGCTACAAACGAATTGAGTTTGGCCAAAATCCTTTTTGCTGTATATGATTTTTAAAGAGCCTAATGCTTCGGTCTCCTCCCCACCAACATGCCCAAATTAGGCCGCAGTACTAAAAGAGTTAGTACTTTGCTCATAAGTCACTTGACCTTCCATGAACCCCTTCACTTTCTCAGTCTCATCAATAATGTGACAGATTTATTTTAAATAACCTTTAGGGAACATTCCAGCTCTAACATTCTATAATTCTGGAAACCCACTCCCTTCTCTTGCACGACAAACCCATGTGCGAGGGAATATTTTTCCACAAGCTAGGATGTGATTTTTGCCTTTGAAGGGTAGGGGTGGTAGGGGGCAGGCAAGGGAGAAGATGTAGACCCAACCGTACAAATGTTGCTGGTAAAACTGAATTTCTGTGACCAGGTTATTTTGTAAAACCATCTGCACAGCTGTTAACATTTTTAGAATTAGAACAGAAGTTTAGTAAGTTATGCCTTGCACAGAGTAAAAAATAAATACTGAATGAATGAACGAATGAATGACAGATGACCATTAATATGGAGAACCGTATATTTTTGGAGTAGTAAAGGGTATTAACCACGGCGTAAGACTGATCATTAGGTACTGGACTCTGAACTGGAGTTGCTGTAGGACCTTAAACAGAGGCCCTGACATTCTCCAACAAGGCTGGCCAGGGCAAAAATCCTGGAGGTTCCTGAGTGGCTCCGGGGCTGCATTTTCAATGCATAGTTTTGGCGAGCTTAATGGAAACCATACGAAGGAATCGGGAATCAGACCAGATGGCTCACCGGGAATGTATTTAGCCAACCTAGGTTAAAGAACAAAAATAACCACTAGGAAGGAGGTGGTGGTGTGTGTGAGTGTGCAACTTTTAATTACCTTTTTCCATTCAACAAAAATCATAGAGACAAGGGCAGTCTTGATAAACGAGCATATATGGGGGGAGGGGCAGTAGTGGAAGGAAGGAAGAGGAGGAGGTGGCTACTTTCGTAAATCAGACGCAGTTTTGCCTGCCCTCCTTAGAACAACAGCTGTTGCGACCCTGTGCAGAGCCGACTGTGGAAGGGGCATGGGGCCGGGTGTGTGTGGGGGGAGATGTCGGGCTGTGCGGGGAGCAGGCTAGGGGGAGTGAGGGAGGGTGAGGTGGGGGTGGTGGAGACGGGGCCGTGGAGAGGGAAGGGCACACGTGGATGAGGGAGGCGGGCCGTGAGCGGGGGAGGCAAACTGAGGGCGGGGTGGTGGGAGACGGGCTGGGGAGTGAGGCATAGTGGTGGTGGGGGGGTTTGGGGGGGCTCCGGGGACCCTGGGCCCGAAAGGCCAGACTCCGCCTGCCCCGGGCGTCCGCTCGACTGACGACTGACGGAGTGTTTGCTCACCCCGGCGCCTTGCGCGGAGGAAAACCTGGCGGTGGAAGGCCCCGGCTCTTCTGGGCTATTCCTCTGAATACAAAAAAGGCTTTCTCACGCCTGTGCCCTCCCGGGAACCTCCAGATGGGAGAGACTGGCTCTTTGAGGCCAGAGCCCACAGCTGCTGGGGCTACACCACCACTTCGGTGGTTCTTGCTGAGAAATGTAATTCCAAGTATTTATTTTAAGGGACAAAATAATAATGATTATAACCATAACTTTTGTCCCATCTCCCAATTAAAAAGAAAAAAATTGAGGTGTTTGAAGCCCAGGAAATTGCCCAGGGAAGCCAATCTGCCAAAGTCCAGATATTCCCAGGCCCTCTCATACCTCGAAGTGGTTTATTAAGCAAACTCTGGGCGTCCAGCTTGTGGCTTCGTTTTCCAGCTCAGCTAAAGGATGTTAACGGTCTTCCCAGCAGATAATCGAAGTATTGATCAACTTCTGAGTCATCTGAGGAGCCAACTTTGCTTTCAGAATCACACTGTCCCTGAAACTGGAGAAAAATTACCTGGTTGTCAACACTCCTATCTGTAAGGCTTACTTTTTTGCAGAATTGGAAATTGCCTTTTCCAAGCCAGACATCACTCATGTGCAAGAGTTGGGATTGTTCCATCTCTTTTAACCTTCCTATTTCATGTATTGTATCTCTAACGGGAAGGCCAGATCAATAAGCAGGAGAGAAAAAAAGGCAAGAACTCTTGGAATCACTAACCAAACCACCCCACTGCCTCTTCAATATCCCTGCCTTTCGCCCTGTCTTCCCTATCATTCTTTTGGTCCTGCCATTTCTGGTGTAAATGTCTCGGCTTTCCAGTTTTACATGGTGAACTTCCTGAAGCTAAAACAAACCATTGCCGTTGAGTCAATTCTGACTCAGAGGGACCCTATACAACAGAGTAGAACTGCCCCATAGAGTTTCCAAAGAGCGCCTGGTGGGTTCGAACTGCTGATCTTTAGATTGGTTAGCAGCTGTAGCTCTACACTACCAGGATTGCCTTCTTCAAGCTAGGACCCAGAAAACCCAGAAATAGAAATATTTGGAGGATGATTACCAAAGACATTAGACATCAAACAAATACTTTAAGAATATTGTTAATGGTTGAAATTTTCACTCAGTGCCTACTTGTTGCTAATGCAGAATCCATATTTTTTACATCACAATGCTTGTTCCCCTCCCCAAAATATAGCACCTACAAAAAATTTAATGTTTTGCCTTATCTAACAAAGTATTCTGTCATGATTTGTTTTTTATCAGGACTCTATGCCCCAGGTTTCCCAAATAGGTGCCCCATGATAATTGTCTGTGTGTGTTTTTAGCCTGTTATTGCATCATAAAAACAAGGGCAGATGTAATGTCACTAATTTGTTGGGGATGGTTGACTTCAAAGAGATTACTGTCAGTATAGAAAATTCACTTTAGGGGAGGGGGCAGAGGGAGCTGCTCAAAGAGAAGTGCAACTGCTCCACAGAACAGCTGCAGACCCTGATTGGCAATGGACTTGCTTGGCATCAGTACAACTCCATGTAGCAAGTGGGATTTATTTATTTAACAATAGTTAATGATTCACCCAAGCAATTCCCAGGAGGCCAGCCAGCAGTAAAGACACCTTCAGGAAATCGGCTACCCTTCCTAGAAGCACAAACTAGCCCTATAATGAAGGGAGGTCCCTGCTGCCCATGTAATACAGCTCTCAGTGGACTGCATGGCTTAAAATGCCCCAAAGAACTCCCTCCACTGCCTGCCACAGCACTGCCTTTCCTTGCTTGCAATGCTCTCTGGGAAAGTCATTGGGTCCAAAAGCAGTAAATCAAGAAAAAGTCACCATTTCTGGGAGGCCACTGTTAAAATAGATTAGTTACCTGGTGTTATAGATTGAATTGTGTCCCTCCTCCCCAAAATATGTGCTGGAATCCTAACCCCTGTACCTGTGGATGTAATCCGCTTTGGGACTAGGTTTACTTTGTTATGTTAATGAGCTCATCTCCCTGAAGGATGTGCCTTAAACCTAATCACTTGTGAGTTATAAGGATCAGCATAGACACACAGATGTGCAAACACAAACTGAGGGAAGACAGATGCCATGTGAAGATTGCCAAGGGACCAAGGAATGCTGGGATATGAGAAGCTTCCCCCAGAGCTAACAGAGAAAGCCTTCCCCTAGTGCCAGTGCCCTGAATTTGGACTTTCAGCCTCCTAAACTGTGAGAAATCAAACCTCTGTTCTTTAAAACCACCCACTTGTGGTATTTGTTATGGCAACACTAGGAACTAAGACACCAGGGAACCAAAGTGGATCATCCAATCCTATCCCATTAGCAGAATTTATTGGATTAGCTAGTTGGGGCCTAATAGACTAACATTTTCCAAAGTGAAATGTACGTATAACTGGTAGTTCTTATGATAGTGTCATGTGGTACTTGAATAACATTTTTTATTTTATTATATTATTTTTCTAAATTTTTTAATTGTACTTTAGGTGAAGCTTTACAGAAGAAATAGTTTCTCATTAAACAGTATGCATATTGCCCTACGACAATGGTTAACAACCCCACGACATGTCAACACTATACTTTTTCAACCTTGGGTTCCCTATCACCAGCTTCCCTGTCCCCTCCTGCCTTCTAGTCCTTGTCCCTGGACTGCCGTGCCTCATTAGTGTTGTTTGTTCTCAGATCAAAGGACACCCTTTAATAAGTCTTGCAAGTTTGGTTTGGTTTTTACATAGTCCCTTAATTTCTGTTTATCTGGAAATGACCTAATTTCACCATCATATTTGAACGAGAGTTTTGCAGGATATATTATTCTTGGCTGGCAATTTTTTTCTTTCAAGGTTTTATATATGTCATCCCATTGCCTTCTTGCCTGCATGGTTTCTGCCAAATAATCCAAGCTTAGTCTTATTGTTTCTCCTCTGTATATGACGTTTTGTTTTTCTTGAGCTGCTCTCAGGAATCTTTGTTTGTCTTTGGTTTTGGTGAGTGTGATTATGATATGCCTTGGTGATTTTCTTTTGGGGCCTATCCTATATGGGGTTCGCTGAACTTCTTGGATGGTCAGCTTTTCATCTTCATGATATTGGGGAAGTTTTCTGTCAGCAATTCTTCAATGATCCTCTCTGTGTTTTCTGTTTTCTCCCCCTGTTCTGGAACTCAGATCACTCACAGATTTTTGCTGTTGATTGTATCCCACATAATTCTCAGGGTGTCTTCATTTTTCTTCATTCTTTTTTCTGATTTTTCCTCAGAGTTGTATCCAAGTATTTATCTTCAATATCACTGATCCTGTCTTCCACCGTTTCAAATCTGCTCCTCAGCCCTTCTATGACACTGTCCATTTCTGAAATCTTCTTGTTTATCTTTTTGATTTCTAATTGTTGTTTGTGTATGATTTCTAGTTGTGAATTTATTTTGGCATTTTGTTCCTGCATTATTTTCCTGAATTCTTCCATTTTTTTGTCTGTATTTTCCATGAATTTGTCTGCCTTTTCCATGAATTTGTCTATTTTTTCCCCATTTTTGTCTGCTTTTTCTTCACCTCTTGGATAGCTCTAAATATTAGAGATTTGAATTCCTTATCATGTATTTCTAGTGACTTTTTTCCTACTGGAAAGTCATGTGGTTTTTTACTTTGGACATCTACTGGAACCAATCCTGTCCTGTTTTTGTAAATGTTTGGATATTGTCTGCTGTCTTCGGGACATTGGGTAGTTATTTTCCTCGTTTATTGATTGTAGATTTGTTTGCTTCATCCTGCTTTTTTGTTTTATTTGGCTATGTCTGAGCAGGCAGGCTGTGTGTTCTTTGTTGTTTGCTCGTCTTTGGGCATGATAATTTTCACCTCCTTCTCTAATTGGCAGGGTCAGTCACTCAGGGCAGGTCTAGCTGAAGAGGAGTTGCTGGGATGGGTTGTTTGTGGCACTTACTACAGCCACCAGGGAAGGCCAGGTGCAGGGCAGGGCAGGTTCCGGTAGGCTGTGCCTGCGCTGCTTGGTGGTGTGATGTTCAGTGCGTGGTGCAGGTAGGCAGGTTGGAGGGGGGAGACTGTGATGTCTGGAGCTAAGATGGGTATGGGAGAGAAGACAGGGGAACGGGGGACAAAAACGTACAAACAAACAAAAAAGAATGCTAGGGAGCTTGCCATTGGAGTGGAGAAAAACAAAGTGGAGTAGAAAAAAAGAAAAGAAAAAAATGAATAAATAAAAATTAGAAGGAAAGAAGAAAAGCAAAGCTCCCAGGGATCCCTCCGGTGCAGCTGTGAGGTCTGGGGAAGTTGCTTCCTGCTGCGAACTACAGCCTGGCTAGAAGGGGTAGAGGTGTCACTCAGCACCAGGTATTCAGGGGACAGGAAGAGAAGGAAAATATAGACAGATGAGAAACTGAGTACTGAAGAAAGACAAAAAGGGAAAAAGAGGGAAAATAAAACAAAACAAACAAATAATAAAAAAAAAAAGAGCAAGAAAAATAGAAAAAAAAAAGCACAAAGAAAAAAGAAATGCCCTTGGGGAGCCCTATGCACGTCTGCACAAACTGTGGGGGTAGGTCCCAAGCCGCGCAGTATTGCCTGGCTAGAATGGGCTCCCAATTTGAGAAAAGAAAAAGAAAACAAACAATTCAAAACAAACAAAAAAGCCCCAGGATCCCACCAGTGTGGCAGCACAGGCCAGGAAGCGGTTTCACATTCGAGTGGCATTTCACAGTCTTTCAGAAAGAAGCAAAGATGGCACGTGGAGCCAGGTATTTGAGAGCTAGGAGGGGGAGGTGGTGAGAGGTAAGGAAGAAATCTAAAGAAGCGTAAAAAGCAACACCAGCAGCCGACAAATGGCACTTAGGGAGCTGGCCAGTGCGGGCGGGTGGAATCCAAGCAGCGCTGGGGTGAAGCTGGTGCTTCCTGGCTAAGAGACTGTGGCTGCAGGAAGCAGAGGAGGCCAAGTGGGAGTGAAGAATGGTGGGGGTGAGAAAGCATATATTGCTGGTTACTGGTTGTTTTGTCTCCTGCTGGAAGCTCCGTGAAGCTGCTTTCTCATACGCCCTGTTTGCTGATCTCTGATAGGAGTCCAAGATAGCGGATCCGTGCTACAGTAGCTGATAGGGGACCTCTGCATGTATCTCTCCTCGCTCTCTGTTCTCTGTCAGTTTCTTATTCCATTCAGTGCTTAGCTGAGTTCTTTATCTCTTTATTTGATGCTTAGAGTTTCAGGATTGCCGTTTTCTCTGTTTGGCTTAATTTTTTCAGATCTTTGCCGCGGAGGGATGGCGTGGTGCTTCTGCCTATAGTGCCATGTTGCCCGGCAGCATTTTTCATTTTAGTGTTCAGCATTTTGTTTTGTTTTTTTCCAAATACACATAATTAGCATGCTAAACCCATTGTGTCTCAAATTATAATCACGTAGGGTGAGGGTGAGTTAAAAAAAAAATAGTCAATTTAAAGAGAAATCTTAATAAACCAAAGTAATAGTATAGCAAAAATAGTCATCAGTTTTATATTAAATGAGCTGAAGTCAGTAGGGTGCATGGAGAAACCAGTTTCTTTCTTTCAAATCACTCTCTGGAAGTCTCTGCCACACACTAAGACATAATAAAAAGAATCCCACTTTAGCCCCCTGTGAAAAATTACTTAATCAGGCAAGACAGAGAGAGCCCCTGGTCTAGAGGGCTGTGACAGGGGCACAAGATGGGATGGTAGATGCTGGGTGGCAGGACAGACATATGAGGAGAGCCGTGCAGGCAGGGTAGGTCCAGGACACTGGGCACACAGGTGGGTCCCCAGCAGTGAAGGACAATCTGAGGACTTAGTGCCTTTTTTACAAGAGGCCAAAACAAAAAAACCAAACCCATTGCTGTTGAGTTGATTCCAACTCACAGCAACGCTATTGCAAGGGGCAGCATACAACAAATCACTGGTATCACTAAGGTAAATTTTGACAGTAAAACTGAAATTCCAGTCTCTTGAAGCTTCTTTGAGGTTTGTTTCCAAAACAACTGGCCAGATTTACACAAGAAACCGTTTCATGAGGCTTTAAGAGAGACTGCTTACCAGGTTTGCGTTTCACCTAACGATAAATCAGAGATTACCATCACACCAACTCTAAACATGCAAACACCCACTGCCACACAGAGACACACAGAAGGATGCTTACTGACACTATCCCAGGGATCCACTGTTTGATGACAAGAAAAAAGGATTCTTACGTGGGTCAGGAAGCCTTTCCCTCGTAGGCTGAAGCGCATCAGACTTTCAGATGCAGGCTTTTTAATTCTCACATCTAGGAAGAAGAGACAGACGGTCAAGGTGTAAGTGCCTGTAGTAAACAGAGTCCAGGGTAGTATGAATAAATGAAATTTACCATATTCCAAAATCTTTGTTTAATAAGTAGACCCCAAAGCCTCACTTCCCCACCTCTGCCACCACCATGACCTTCTCATGTAGACACACTTCTGCGGAGTGGCAAAAATGTCTCTGCTGGATTTCTTCCTCCTTTTATTTCCCCATCCTACCATCCTTGTTGTTAGGACAGGCATAGTGAGGTGATAAGGAGGATGACAGGAAGAAAGAGGAGGAAATGCTAAAAGCCTTAAATGGCCTCAGACTCTGGAAGGTATGAAAATATCAGCTAAAGATCATAATTAAAATAAAGGCAGAAATTGGGTAGAAAGTGGTAGTTTAGGATGGGACTTACATGATTTTTCAGAATTTTTAGGTGACATAGAGTCAGCAAAGAGAATTTGGTGTGCCTACAAAAACAGAGAGAGAGAAATAACCAGCCACTTCCACAACAATAGAAATCTAATAAAATTCCTTTTTCAGTGTTATCCCTCCTCCCTCCTCCCCCATTCAAAAGGCTTTTTGATGCTGCTACATTAATCAAAAACCCTTTGCCGTCCAGTCTATTCTGACTCCTAGTGACCCTCTAGGACAGAGTAGAACTGCCCCACAGGGTTTCCAAGCTGGATTCAAACTGCTGACCTTTTAGTTAGCAGCCAAGCTCCTAACCACTGCACTACCAGGGCTCCGCGCTGCTACATTAGGGTCATCAAATTCATAATCTGGGGGTCTGAATTCACCCAATAAATCATTGGTTTGGCCGTTGTTCAGGTAGGTACTTTCTTTCAGGAGGCAACTCTGAAGATGAGCAAAATACAGTCAGCTTTCACTCATCTGACTCAACCTTCCCAGCACTTTTACCTGGCCAGGAACCCGGAAGCTAACAGATGACTCAGTAGATAAGCTGTTGTTGCTGATGTTAGTTGCCATCGAGTTGGCTCCAACTCATGGAGACCCCATGTGTAACAAAATGTTGCCTGGTCCTGGGCCATCCTCACTATCACTGGTATGTTTGAGCCCATTGTTTTTGCAGCTATTGTTATCCATAAGGTTACAAGTGGTACAGAGAATTGATGCATGGGAACGTATATGGCTGTTTTCCAAAACTGAATGGAAATGAAGCTATTTTATTTTTCTTCTTATTTAGGTAATTGGAAATTTCTTATTTAACATGGAAATAGAAACCATAACTAATTTTTATTCCACTGATTTAGATAACTTCAGGATAACTCTGGCAGGAGATGAGCAGATGTTTACGTTTGTACTACAAATGAAGAAATGATAACCTAAGCAAATTAGAATTATTCGATAACATTTTTTAAAAAGATTATAGAGAAAGGTTAAAACCACATAAAAGAACAAAATATTTTCCTATTTCCTATCAATAAATCATACATCAACCACCAACTATTCGTTTATACTCTTTATAATAGTTCCCCCCAAGAAATTCTGCCTATCAGCAACTGTGTAAATCTGTCTCTAACTTCTGTTTTTGATCATGTGTAGAAGTTGAAGGTAAAGAGAATGAAAGAAGGAAACAGAGCTATCTCAAGCTCGACCCCAACCATTGCCCTACCGTTCTGCTTGTCTAGGAGTTCATTTAACAACAAATATTTGCATACCTACTGCATGCCAAGCAGCATTCTATGTGCTGGGGATACAGCAGCTAACAGAACAGAAAAAAATCCCCTGACTTCATGGAGCTTGTATTCAGCAAGTTGCAAGTAACTCCAAAACTTAGGCATGATATTGGCTAGCATTATGGATTGAATTGTGTCCCCCCCCAAAGTAAGTGGTGCAAATCCTACCCTCTATACCTGTAGTTATAATCCCATTTGGGAATGGGTTTTCTTTATTATGCTAATAAGGCATTATTAGTGTAGGGTGTGTCTAAAACAATCTCCTTGGAGATATAAAAGAGCGGATCAGGCAAGCAAGCACAAACGGAGGGGAAGATGCATGCCACATGATTGCCAAGGAATAGAAGCTGAAAAGAGACAGAGCAGAAGGAGAGAGAGCAAGCCTTCCCCTAGAGCTGGCACCCTCAAGTCAGACTTCTAGCCTCCTAAACTGTGAGAAAATACATTTCTGTTCATTAAAGCCACACACTTGTGGTACTTCTATTATTGCAGCACTAGATGACTAAGCTAGTATAGGTCAGAGAGTTACAGAAGTCCCTGTTAATTTAATCTTACTAGTTTTGTTGTGTCTTCAAACACTGTCCAGCCAGAAAGCATTTAGTCAAGGTTGTTGACTCTATGACCTCTACTTGCTATCTTAGTTATCTAGTGCTGCTATAACACAGTGGTACCACAGTAGTTAAGTGCTCAGTTGCTAACCAAAATGTTAGGGTTGAAACCCACCAGCCGCTCCACGGCAGAAAGATGCGGCAGTCTGCCTCAGTAAAGATTTACAGCCTTGGAAACCCTATGGGCAGTTCTACTCTGTCCTATAGGGCCACTATGAGTTGGAATCGACTTGATGACAATGAGTGTCTGTTTTTAGCCATGATGGAGTAATTTGTATTAAACTTGCATTTCTACCATAAGCAACTAAAAACTGGAAAAAATATATGAAATAAATTATTGAGCTATTAGACAATATGCATCACAGGACTGAGATGATGAGAGAAAGAAAATAAATGAAGTGAGCCCTACAATCCACCAGCTGTCTGCACCACGGCAACATGAGGAGTGGCCAACAGAACATGATGGTCTCAATGAGTTGAAGAGACATAAATCAGAGTTCGGGGAGACTGAAGCACCTGGAATTTGAGGGGCAGAGTACAGAAAGAAAAAAACTACAGAGGAAAAGAGCCCCCCAAACATCTGCATAAGTGCTTGAGACTCAACGTAAAACAAGAAGTATTTTATTGAGAATAGTGTTGAAAAGGAAACCACTACCTTCTTAACCTGGCAATATCCCACAGAGATGAGCCAGACCCATCTCCTCTGTCTATAGGCAAGATTTCAGTTAATCTTTGAGGGCGACACTATCTCTCATACTGCCATGGCTTAGAGGGGAGAATGAAAGATTGAGTTAAGGGGGAACTTCTCTAACTGAAGAAATAGCAATGGTAAGATTCTCAAGATTCTCATGCTAGCAATAGTTGAATTTAACATTTTGGTAAATGATCTCTAAGGAGAGAGTGATGGCATCTCTGAGCTTTCAGACAACATTAGGCTCAGGCAGGAAATTAAATACTTAGCTTATAGAGGTAAAATGTAGAAGATCTTATACAGTTTTGAAAATGTGTTGAAAAGTAGATGATCTTTAGTGTGGCAAGTCAAAAGCAAAACAGTGAGATAAAATAATAAAATTTGTAGACACCAACTTAACCAAAAGACCAAAGTTATTATCGCTGATAAAATTTTCCTCCTGATATGATCCAGTTGAGAAGAACACAATGTCACTTCAGTAGTATTCCTGCCAGAAATACATAACCCACATCTATTCACAAGGGAACATCAGACAAACCCAGACTGAATGACATGCTACAAAATAACTGTCCTCTACTCTTCAAAAATGTCAAGCTCAAGCAGTACAAGGAAACACTGAAAGACTATTCCAGATTACAGGAGACTTAAGAAACATGAAAGCTAAATGCAATGTATGATCCTGAGTCGGATCTTAGACCAGGAAAAAAATAGCTTCAGTGCATTATTGGGACAGTTGACCAAATTGAATATGGACTGGGATTTGGCAATAGTATTGCATCAATATTAAACTTCCTGATTTTAATAACTGTCCTGTGGTTATATTAGAGAATATCTTTGATCTTAGGGAATACACACTGACACGTTTAGAGGTAAAGGGGCATGATGTCTCCAACTTACTTTCCAATGGTTCAGAAAAAAAAAATGTGTGAGTGTGTGTGTTTATATACACATAAACATAGAAAGATGTTTGTAAGGAAGTTCATCAAAATGTTGATGGTGATTATCTAGGGGTAGGGGGAGAGATTTAGGTAATTTTCTTTTCCCTCCATTTCTCTGTATTATTTGAAAATTAACAAATATCATGAATTTTTTATAATCAGGGAAAAGCTTGTTTTGTTTTTAATTGCCAGTATGTTATCTGTAATTATTGTCATACAGGGAAAGAGAAAGGGTTGAAAGAAAAGTTGGTGACTGTGATAAAAGCACAGCATCATTTGTTGTTCACAATTCGTAACCTTGGGTATCTTTGTATCCCCATCACCTAACAGAAAGCCACACACACAATAAGCACTCAGACATGAACATTTGATGAATGAATGTTATTAAAAAATAACTCCAACCCCTTTTGTTTTTTATGAGTAATAGATAGTGTGCAATCATTTAAGCTCTCTACGTATAAATGATTACTTAGAAAATGTTGGACTTACCACTGTATGCTTGAGATCAAGTGACTTTCCAAAGGAACTGATTCTATCAGAGGATGGTCCTGAATTGCAAATTAAGAGGGAAGACCAGGGTTAAATGCAAGGTTAAAATGAAATTTCTTACACTCCCAATTCAGCTATCACCGACAAATTGTACATTCTTCCCTTGTTTCCCTTTAGAATCTGACCAACAAAAGAGCAACGGTCAGTCAGGTAAGACCAGACTGTGACTAAAAGTTAAACTCAGAGTAAACGTTCTGGAACTTCTAGGAGGGGCTAACATTTTTATGCCTGGGATGTGCTACTATAATACACAGCTTGCTCACTTAGGATCAGAGGGAACCAAGACTATATGGAAAGTCCAAGGCTGTGCATTTTTCTCAAGGTCTCGAGAAGCTCTGGTGTATTTTTTTAAACAATTTTATTGAAGTATAATTTACATACTGTAAAATCCACCCATTTTAAGTGTATACTTGAATGATTTTTCGTAAATAGACTTTGGCAATTACTCATTGTTATTTGTGCTATTTTATGCTGATAAACCTTTTTTAAAAATCAAAAAAACCAAGTATCTTAAA